ATTCTTACCGATCATCGTTGCTTAGTAACAACTGTGCAATAGAACAAAAAATATCATTAACATTTTTTTCATTAAGAAGTCGTTCGATAGTTTTATTTCGATCACGTCTTAAATCATTGACACAATATTCAAGTGCATGACGAATATTTCTACTTATAGGATTAATTGTTAAATTTGATTTATCATCTCCATTTATTATATCCAAATTATCTTCATTGGGTACAAATCGAATAAAATAATTTTTAAGATCGAAATAAAATTTATTATTATCTATATTCACCATTTGTATAAATATATTCAAATAAAAAAAAAAACTTCTTGTTTGTTTCTACTGTTGTCGTTATTGTTCTTATTCTTACTCTCGTCTTATCAGCACTCTAAGTAAAGCATCTACAAAAGGGAGAGAAAAAAAGTAAAAAAAAAATATTAAGAATCATAACAATTGTTCTGTATATGTGACCGTGTGAACATGTTTCATATAGAGAGTGTATTTATTTGAAGAAAGACAAAGAATAAAAATAGGAACATGTAAAAGAAATGATGTAAAAGAAGAAGAAGAAGAAAAAAAACCGAAAAGAAAATATGAAAGACATAGATGGTCAAATATTTGCAGTTGTTAAATGGTCTTCATTTTTATTGTTAATAAAACTGAATAATTTAATAAACAAATTGAATTCGTTCATGGCATACTCGATCGATACCTTGATTAATAGTAAAATCATATAAACCAATTTCACATAAATTAGCCATAATATAAAGTTTATTAAGAACAAATTCATTCTAAATTAAAAAGAAAAAATGATATTAAATACAAATATGAATGAATACAATATTTTATTTTATTAAAACCAACTTGAAGATCAAAACATTTTTCATGAATATATTGTGTAACAGATTTATAACAATCATGTTGAGTAAGTTTCATATGTTTTTCTATCACTATTTCTAAATAATCACCATGATTCATTGATAATGATATTGATGCTATTTTTTGCATATAATTTGTAATTAAAGCTCGATCCTAAATAGAAAAAAAAAAGTTAACATATATGTGAATTTACTTATTGAAAATAAAAATATAATCCTTATGCCTAGATATTTGAATTTGACATGTGCGAGATAAGCTTTTTTTTTGTATCCTGTATCCGAGAGAAAAACAATAGACTTCAACTTACTCTACCCCGTAGGGTGCAGGATTGGAACCGGACCGGTTTAGAAAGTCAACCGAGCTGGGCAGTACCGGAAATTTGCCGGTTGAAATTTAAAAATAAATACCTTTATTTAACTGTTTTTTGTAAAAAAAAAAAGTATTTTATGAATTTTACTATAAAGAAGATGACATAAGGGTGTGGGTATGGGTATGGGGGTTGATCTTGTCTAAGATGACACCCACACTCACACTCACACCCTTGATGAATTGTAAAGATTACACATCTGTTTCCTACATGTTTGTTGAAAGTTTTAATCATATTTCATCAAGAACTGAAATTCTCTAAAATATATTTTCAAAATAGTTTTTCTTAGCCGAATTTCTTCAGAAGGTGATCTTATTCTTCGAAAGTTAATGAGAAAAGACAAAATTTTCAGCTGTCTACATCTATAATATAAAGACCTGTATCAAACAGGTTGAATAGTTCTATTTAACCATTAGCTAATCAAGTTCAAAGCTGGAATTGACGCCATCGATTCTATTTCTAGCATAGTTTGGCTATCTGGAATAACTTTCAAGAAATCAACTTCAACAGTTACCGTTCGATTTGCCGGAAATTCACCGGTTCAAGAGCAACTTTTAACCGGTCGGACCGAACCAGTTGAACTTTTCAACCGGCCGGACTGGACCGTTTTATCAATCTCTTACCGGTTTCAACCCTGGTAGAGTGGAGTAGGATAGCCTATACATCTCTAATTATAGTCGCTATACCTGAGTGGGTGGGTTGTTCAACACGTATTTATAAAAACTATTGCAAGCAAACCTAAGCACTACTAGCAATGGAATGATCCTAAACAAGTCATCAACAGGTCTTTGCCTCGAATCATCCGTCTGATAGTATGCTGACTGCGTTGTGACATACGCCTGCCCTTTTGGTTAGTTAGTGTGTAAGGAGAACGTAAGCACTCTGCGTCTCGCCGGGCTTTTTGTCTAGCACTACGGCTAGTCATAGTTGTAAGTAAGATCTCGAGTTATTGAATATACCGCTAGGCAACATTTCCATACTGCAAGATAGCTGAAAGGCAAGCTATTCTTTTGTCTAGATTGTATTGTAAATTATTTTCTTTGTTGAAAATAAAAACAAAAAATGTTTTGATACGTACATTAAGTAATTGACCAAGTTGACGTTCTAAATTTTCTTTTTCAATTGAATTTTCTTCAATATTAGCTAAACGACGAGCTATAATAGAAAGACGAACACTTTCAGTAGGCACAGCATCATTCTAAAATAATAAATTAATATTCATAATACATTATAAATATTTATTAATCATACTCGAAGTATATTATTATCATAATCGTGAATAAAATTACGTTGAGATTTATGTAATTGTTTTTTTGCACTTTGAAATTCACTAACATTATGAGTTTTACCTAAAGTCTAGAGAAAAAATAAAACAAGAAAAGAGAAAAAGAAGATTTATTAAAACATATTATTAGTTGTTTATAATCATACAAGATCACCATATTGCATAACATGACTTTCATTTGTTTTTTTCTTTGTTATTAAATATTGTTGATATAAAGATTCTTGATCAATTTTTTCAACATCAGAATCTTCCATCCAAACAACTGAATAAAGATCACCTAAATATGTTCCACGTTTTTCATCATAATAACAAGCATAGGATGATTCTTCAGCATTTGATGCTGTTGTTCCATATATATTGATATTATTTAAAAGAATATCTTCAAACATTGAACCTGATTCACATGCTTCAATATAAATGACCATCTTTAATAAAAGAAAATTTAAATAAGAATAATTTCTTTTTTATAATAAAATTATTTAATCACTTGTTTGTATTGTTTTTGACTATGCATTTTTGTGATTGTATCATTTAAATCTTTGGCATAGAGCTACAAAGAAAAAGACAATAGTTTTGTTTCTTTAAATGAAAGAAATATATAAACATACCACACCAGTTGGAAAAGCAACTAAACCTATATGAAAAAAGTAATTAGTAGCAAAAGGTAAAAATAGAATAGCTTACCAACAGCTCCATGATCAGTAAAATAAATAAAAACATTATCATTGGGACCACTAAAATCAATCGATAAATAATTTCATCATCATAGATCGAATTGAATTATGTATTTTCCTTTTTTATTGTTCTACTCTCAAACATTTATTGAGTACAATACTGAATTCTTGGTCAATGATAGCTGTGTTAGATTGAGTAAAAATCAAAAGTTGATAGTTTTTAACACCGTTACTTTTTTCCACTTCAATTTAAAATGTTTTTATTTTCCAGTAGAAAAAAATATATCAACTCTAGCACGTTATTTAATAGCTATCGATTGTTCCTTGAGAACATTTTTTTTTTGGTCTCATAGAAAATGTTTTTGTTTATAGTTTGCTATTTTAAATTTTTCATAGAGAAAACAAAAAGATATATCCACTATGTAGTTTTTCTATTGGATAGTTTATTAATTAAAATATTAAATTCTTACCTTTCTAAGACTTTACCACTACCAATACCTTGCATAGCTTCTTTATTTCCAAGTAAAATATTAATAAAATTTTTTGGTGTTACATCCTATTTGAAAAAAAAAACATATGTTTTTTCATATTCAAAAAACTAATGAATCATCGTACTGTGCGAGTATAATCATGTGGTACACCATGATAAACATCTTTTCCATTAGGATGATTAATAATAATACCTTTTGTTGGATTTCTTAAAATGAACAAAAAAAAAAAAAAAAAGCAAATATCAAACATTCTATTCTATATATGCCTTCACATACTCTTGATTTGTAGCTAAATCATCATACATCATAACAATAATATTTGAATCGGGAATACCATTTTTATGTAAAATTTGATAAGCATGACAAACATCAGCTTGATGACGATAATTATACCAACCATTAGAACCAGCAACAAGTACTGCCCAATTTGCTGCTGAAATACAACTAATTCCCAGTAAAACAAAACTTGCAATGAATAGAACAAATTGTTGTTTCATTGTATAAGTATATCAATGGAATGAAATGAAAAACTCAATCAAGATAACAATAAAATATAGACTATAGTTAAATTTATTTGCTTAGTTCTGATCTATGATGTGAAAAAAGGTAATACGCCATTGATGATAGTACAATATTTACGAATCATTCTATTGAAAGGAAGAAAAAAAGCACATGTATCTTGGCGACTGCATATGATGGTAATTCAAACATGTGACCCGGTGCACATGGAGTTGTTGACAGCAAATACTTGTCGAAAAGTACAGAACAAAAGAAAAATACATATATGCACGCAGTTGGTCATCATAGCAGAATTTTGACTGATTTAGTAACAATTCAATTCAATATATTGAATCATTTCTACTAGGTAAATTGAATATAAGATTATTTTCTTGTGATTGTATTTTTTTGCTGATCAATCTTTTATTTTGTTATTTGTATTTCAAGGTTACTTTTTGTTCTTTATTTAGAGATTAAAATAGATTTGATTCACATATAGGTAAAAATAGAATAAAAGGAAAAAAGGTAAAATATCAGTTAATTTCGTAATGGTTGTTTACAACCAACAACACGAATCAGACTTGCATTAGTTATACCATATCGTCGTAATTTTCCTTGTCGTTTTTCATGTAAATTTTGTCCTTTGAACATAACACGTTGAGCATCTATTGGAATATTTAATTGTTTTTCTATAAGTTGTTGAAGTTCTTCAACAGATGGATCATTGGAATTCGTTGATAAAATCATTTCATATATATCACCGCCATGTTGGACTTGAAGTTTAAGAAAATGCATTTTTTTTTTTATTATTCTAGAAAATATAATACTTATTGTAATAAAACAAAAACAATTGAAAAATATTTGAAAGATGTGTTTACTATGAAGGTATTCATAATAGACATCAGATTCTTAGGAAATTTTTGTTAGTATACATACAATTTGATATTTCAGTAATGCAATAATGATATTTATTGAAGACAATGAATAATGTTAGAAAACATTTGTATAGTTTAAATTTCGATTGTTCACAATATGTTGTTAATTGTCATGTTTACAATTTAAGGACGCTCTTATCTTTTTTTGACCATTTCTGATCCTCGAAAATGGTATAACAGGTTCACATGAAAATTTTACCACAAATAGACTACTTAAACAAGAAGTCAAAAGTGATTTTAAAATTTTTCAAAAATTTGACTTTCTTTTTTTATGAACGAAATAGGTAATGGTTCGATCGAAAACCAGGGTGTTGGCGTTCAAGGCTCTATAAATCCAAATAGGAAGATCAAAAAATGAAAACAACCAATTTCAGCCCTATCGGACAAAATCAGACGGGGTTCGTGAGTCGATTCGATGTGGTTACATGGGCAACTACGGTTTTCCCTCAAAAACCTTGTTCAAATTTTTTTTTCATCGAACACACGTCTCCTTATTTTAGGTGTTCTATGTATGATAAAAATTTCGTGTGAACCAGTTGTACCCTTAATTCAATTATTGAAACTGCTTTAAAAGCTTTTGTTTTAACATTTTTATTATTAGTTGGAAAGTTATTTATTTTTTTTTTGAACGTAACAGTTTTCATGTGTTTTAAACTAGACAAAAATCGTTTGGCAAAACGTGCGCTATGCCGGTGGTATTCGTCGGTAGTGACAAAAAAACCGACAGTAGAGTTTGTTACTTAAACGACCAGCTACCTACTGACTATCATTCAATTGCGGTATACTGATAACTGTTCTCCGACTGTCAATCCACTGGCGACAATGCGAGCAAGCTTGTAATATTGGTTGTTTCTTATTATTTGAGAAAAAAAAAAGATTAAATAAAACATATTTTGACTTAAAACTTTACCTACAAATTAGTTTCGCAATGTAAAAGTTTCGAATAATATGACTAGTTCTTTTTAGAAATATGAAATTGTCTTCAACAACAGACAAGGGCTTTCTTCTTAAATTTAATATTTTGAGAAAGTTCAATATTATGTTTTAGAATCAAGAAAAATTTAGTGTACGCTTCTTTCGATTATATTATTGTTGAAAATAACTTCAATAACTATTAATCATTTCTAATTCATTTCAAATTTATCAAAAGACAAAATAAAATCCTGAGACAAATTGTTTGAAACATAATATATATAATAAAGAAATGTTACAATAAAAATTCGTTTTAATATTAACGTAGAAAAAGTATCTTTATCTCGTATTCAGACTGACAAAAAATCGAATATATACTACTCTTGTTTGCGTAATGACATTTAAGGGTACTATAGATGTGCAAGGTAAGCTATTTTCATGCCTTCCATCCTGACTGAGGAAAATTTTCTGACTCTACCCTACAGGATAGGACAATTTTGCACATTTCTAAAGAGCATCGTCCTTCTTTTTTGGCCATTTCCAGTTTTCGAAGAGAACACATCCGATTCGTCTGACATTTTTGCCACAGATAGAGGAGTTTAAATTCACAGATAATTCGACCATTTGTTCAGAAGAGAAATCGATCGTTTTCGTTCTTGCACCTTCCTATCCGAATTTATAGTGTGCTGTCTAATTTTAAAGCTGCACCTTTACGAAAAAAAGCGAGATTTTTGAAAAAGATTAACATCACCTCTGAGATTTACTTTAAGATATCTCAGAAAGAAACCTTTTTCAGCCCAATCGAATAAAGTTTGATGCGAGTCCAATATATGACCCTATGAAAAACCAGAATTTTCTTGCGAAAATCTTGTTTTAAATTGTTTTTCTCGAACACTTATCTTCTCGTTTAAAATGCTCTACCTGTAATAAAAATTTTAGGATGGTCGGTTGTATCAATTTCGAGAACTAGAAATAGCCAAAAACGAGAGCAATTGACCTTTATCTTTGCATGCTATAATATATCGCTCATCCCATGGAAGAATAAAAAGATTTAATAAGACAAGTCAACTGCTACAAACCCAAAGATTCAAGACATTATTAAACCAAACTGAAATAGACAATAATTACACGGATAATTATTGTCCATTTCCAAAAAGAAGACTCGAGGGTATTTTTTGAATAACTTTTGAGAGGAATAACATAGTGATCTGCGGTCTTCACCATAAAAAAGAAAAAGTTTCGACGCATAAAGATATGCTGAAATTGAAACAGCTAATATTGAACCAATCTAATTAATTCTTGGTGAATATTTTGAAAAACAATATTCTGGCCTCATTTCTCAGTTGACCTTGATTGTGAATAGGATCAGTAAATAGAAAAAAATCGTTCTCTTTCGATCTATACCAGGTCGACATTGCTAGCTTACTCTATTCAAGAGTTATATCGGCTTCCTTGAGACCCCCGATTTTAGCTAATTGCCGTGAGATCAACAAAAAAAGCACCTAGGTACGGATAATTTACCATGCTGAGTCAAATGGGGATATTTTTTTTCGCATTTGAAATGGTCTGACACTGCTATCTTAATACTTATGAAATGTAGATTTATTATGCTATATAGTGGCAGATTATGAAACTTTGGAAACACTGAAATAACATTACCAGATTATTTCGAATCCAAAAGTCAATATCACTACTCGACTCAACATGATAAATTACTTTTGTCTAGATCCTTTTCCAGATGATCCCAGGTCAATTGGCTGAGATCGAGAATCTCAAGAAAAGTCTTATAACTCTTGAACAGAACAAGCTAACAGGGTCGGCTTTGGGTAGATCGAAAGAGAACAAATTTTCCTATCTATTGATAATATTAACAATCAAGATCAACTGAAACTAGATTCAGAATATGTTTTTTAAAACATCAAGAATTGATTTGATTGGTACAATGTTGACAGTTAAGTTTTAGCATATATTCATGTATTCGAGCCTTTTCTTTGTAATGGTGAAAAGCACAGATTTTTATTTTTTTTCCTATAAAAAGTTATTCAAAAAATACTCACCATCCTTCTTTTTTTTTTATAAATAGATAATAGTAATTTCTCCATAACCTTCCACGAAATAAAAAGAAGTGCACTCTTTCTACTTATCGTTACTTGTAATGAAAATATTCAATAATCTATAACTCATCAAAATACATTTAATATCACTAATGAATTTCTTTGTTTTCTCTTTAAAATATATGAAAAGAACGTCTTTTTTGATTGATTTCAAACCTAGACTATTTTCTTCTAACTACCTCTTTTGTTCTCGTTTTTTTTTTCTTTTTAAATGAAATTATTCTATGCTTCTATTTACTTTACAAAATAACATCTATCGTATCTATACGTCTGTTTGTTTGACACTATCAACATTTAAAAAAAATAGTGTCTTTTATTTTATTTACAAACTTGAGTTGAACATATAACACAGAAACAAAAAATTAAAAAACAACCCGAAAAGAAAAGAAATCTTTTTACGAAAAACAAAAAAAAAGAAAAAAAAAGAACCAACGAAAAAAAAATATTCTATTGTATATTTATTCCAAAATACATAATCTTTTCTCTTGGATATATATTTATATACATATAATTGAGCAAGAAAACAAATTGGTACTATAAAATATAAAACAAGAAAAACAAAAAGCACAAATAATTATAGAACAAATGGTGGTGTTTGATCATCCAATTTTGCTTTAGCTGCAGATTGAACAATACGATCATATCGTCGTGTTTGTTGAAAATCAATATCTGCATAAAGTTTTGTTAATGATCGTTCATTATTTTCACAATCTTGTTCTTCATAAGTGTCATTTTCATTTATAATAATATCATCCGAATTATTTATTTGTTGTTGTTGTTGTTGTTCTTGTTGTTCATTATTATCCGAATATTCATTTGTTATATGTGATGGTATAAGTAAATCAGCATAATTTATAGATGTTTCTGATTGTGGTAATGAACTATTTGAATTAATTACTAATGTTGATTTTGATGAACTATCTTGTAATAATGGTTCAACTAATGCATATGGATCATTTGATGAAATTTTTTCTTCATCAATATGTGATAATTGTGAACGTGATACAGATGTTGTTGAATTAAATGATGGTAAACGTGATTGTATTGTATCATCATTTAAATTTTGTGGTGGTCCAAGTAAATATGTTGTTATTTGATCATTAACATGATCATCAAATAATAATATTGAACTATGTGGTCTTCGAATTCGACATGGTGTTATATCACCACCAATACTATTTGCTGATAGAGATACTGTATGAAATATATGTGCATTTGATGATGATGATGATATTGTATCAATTGGATGAATAGTTGATCCTTGTTGTTGTTGTTGAGATATTGACATAAGACTTAAATCTGAATTAAGACGATGATCAAATGTTATACTATCGGATATTGGACTTGTTGCAAGTTCAGTTTGATCATTTTTTACACAATCATTATTATTAAATGTAACAATACCATAAGAAAGTAAAAGTGATTTATGAGAATTTGAGACGGAATTTGTTTGTTGAAGAGAACTAAAAGAAAAATTTTCATTTTAATTGAACAAAAAAAAAATTTGAAAAACAAACCTTGAACTATCTGGTGATGATGTTATTAAATCAGATGAAGTTCCTATAAAATCAAAACAAAAAATAAAAAGAAGATAATATTGATTAAAACTATGAAATACAGTAGTAGATCATCTTAGCAGAGGTTCAAATTCGATGAAATGTTCATAGAATGTTTGTGTACACATGCTTGACTAGGACATGTAGGTCTGACAAGGAAACGTTTTCAACTAATCAATCGTTTTCTCATTATTCAGCTACAGAATTATAGGTTATCGATCATGAGAAATTCTTTGAGGTCTTTACATACTAGTTTTCTATGCTAACAATTATTTTGCTACAATCTTTTTTGATCTACTTAGATTATAGAGCGTATCATGTTGTTAATAATCTTCTCTGCTTTCCAAAACATGAGTTTTTCACAAAAATAATATCATCTTGAAGATTTTCACATTAAAATATTGTTATATATCGGTTGTATGAATTAAAATGACTGTATTTTCTGCAAAGAAAACCTTTGCAACAGAGAACGTTACTGTGATTTAGACAATTCGATATGTTCTATAATCTGGTCAGATCAAAGCAAGTTTTTAGCGAAAATTGTGTTAGTCTAGAAAAGCAGCATAGGAAGATCTAAGAAGATTTCTCATAATCATATTCGAAATCATCATGGTCGATACCATATAAGCTAACAGCTTCCACTAAAGAAGCGATTGATCAGTTGAAAACGTTCCTTATTCAGACACGAGCTTAACTCGATTGTTTACATGAAACGAGAATTATAATGGATCGCATTTATTTATCCTTTTGACTTCATAACTTTGAAAAAGAAGAATATTGTGAGTCAGTTCATTCTTCATTATTTAGTGATTTATTCCAGTTATCAACCGTATTAATTTCATCGAAGTTTATCAACTCGTCCCAGAATTGTACTCATTTTTTCCATAAGTATTCGAGTGGGAAAAAACTATCTGCTGATCTTTGAAGATTATAACTCAGTAATAGTTAAATGAATTGAGCTGAAACTTGCACATAAGCTTTGCCTATAGCTAAAGTTTCATTCTTGTTGTAGTTAAGCAATCAGAGCGACTCTGTGCTTCTGAACTAAATTCTTGATGTAATATGTGCATATACATTTTCAGACCTGCAACGTGTATAGTAGCCGAAATACGAGAAAGGTGAGAGACTTTTGTCCACTACTGTAGAAAAAAAAAAATAATGCATACCGTAACCATTAGTTATTGTTTGACCAGTTAATTGTGTTTTAAATGGTTGCATAACACTAGCAGGAGAAGTAAATGAACGTTGACCGATAGGAAAAAGATTATGTTCTAGAATAATTTAAATAGATTATATATAGAAAAAAATGATTTTGTTTTCAAGATTATTTTTATACCATCAGCTATTAGATGAACTGAATTTCCAACTATAATTGCTGAACGAACATGAGGTGATAGACTAATAGTAGCTAAAATAGACAAATAAAATATATTGAATGAAACTTTTTATTTTTAAATTATTTATTTAACAAGGTTAGTTTTGTCTAAAACTTCCCAATGATATTTGTTTTAAATATTTTAACCTCCAGTAGATTTCTATGATATTTAAGAAATGTTTTTTTTTTAAATAAGAAATTCAATCTATAACGAAAGAACGTTTTCAGTTGATCAATCGCCTTTTCATCAAAAGCTACTGAATGATGGATTATCAACCATAGTAATTCTGGATATGATCATAGTCGGTAACCTCTAATCCAGTAGTTTTCGTTAAAAAGTCGACTGATCAGTTGAAAATGTTCCCTCTAAGATGTTTAGTATGTTCAAGAATTAATATATCATATCCTTTTGTGTAGAACTGGCTGTTTTTCAAGTGATATTTCTGCGTCAACTATTTCAAGTGAATTGTTCAAACAATCAAAATCATTTGATAATAATGTTTGTTTCTTTTTTTTTTTTAAAGTTCTAAAATGAATTGTTTATTCAATTGGTTATCATTTGAGACTGATTATTCAGTTTACAAACACGTTTATTAGAGACTAAACTCTATATTCTTTTCAAATTATATATATATATGAATAATTTTGTTTTTTTTTGAATTTAGAGTAATTAATAATGAGCAAGTTTTTGAAAAGATTTATTTAATTAGATTTGAAACTTTTTTCATAAACAGATTTCATGACTTTTAGTAGGCAACAAAATTTGCAATCAAAATGAATGTTTCTTTTAAAGGACAAGTCATAACAATAGTTCTGTTATAAAAATTCAGTATCATGAGATCGTTCTATGAAGAAAATTTCAGAAGGAAATGTTTTCATTTCACTTTCCTGTAAATATCTTGCTGCAGGCTGGAAATTCACTAAAGTGGCTATAACAATTTAGCCTATAGGTCATGAACATGGAAGTGTTAAGATTGGTTTAGTTACGCTGAGTCTCATTTAAGAACAATAATATCAGTTCAAAAGCAACGAAACACTTAGAGTATCGGCCTCAAAAATTTTCAAAAAATGATGTTTTCCATGAAAATTAGCTCCTAATGACTCAAAAACCTTGTTAATTAAAACAATAACTTAGAAGTTTCAGTAAACTTCCTGTAGAAAATCTCAGAAGAACTGCTAAAAAGTTTGTTGTATTTGACAAGGGAAATCCCCCAATTGATTAGTCGTTTTTGAACTCGGAACTATGTAGTATGAATATTCTGAAACAAGTTTAAACCCTTAGTTTATTGATGGAGAGATACTGCATTTTTACAATGTTTTTTAAGTCAATGTCGTGGCCTCCTCAGGAATGCCAGGAAAACTCATTTTCAGATTTCGACTAAAAATTTTGCACAGAGTCAGATCTTAACGAGAATACTTCATTGTGAAAGTTTCAGATCTTTTCGTTGTTCCTGTTATAAGATACGGCTATGGCAAACGCTTGCCTTTTATATTGCACATATACACTAGTAGATTCAATGTTCTTATTTCAAAGTAGGAAATATGAAAATCATTTTTTTGATATTTCTAAAAGGAACGATGGCTTTGCTTTAAAAAAGAACTACTAGAAAAATGCAGTATCTCTCCACTAATCAGCTAAAAGCTCGAATTTTTTTCCAGAATGTTCATACTATATAGTCTCAACTCGAAAACGATTAATCCGTTGGAGAGCTTCCATTATAAGTCGCACAATAATCAATAAGTTCAAAGAAAAGATTGAATTAATTCCAAATGAGTTCAGACTAAAATTTAATTAATAGTTGTTTCCTTGTCAATTTGCATTGTCTTACAAATACAAAAAAAATCCTGTTGGAATCAAAGCATTTTTATGTATTCACCAAGCATTTTGGTAATGTGCGAGTCAATAATTTTTGAAGTTATCCTTCCTAAATTTTTATTTGGAAAATTCCGAAAAAAATGGTTAAAATAAGAGAGTAAAAATTTAATGATTGTATTTGTCGGCTAACTATAATCAGTTCGGATCATATATAATAGAAACGGAATCAGTTCAACTTTTTTACAATTTAAACTAAATCGAAATTGAGATCAATTTGACAAACTACGAATCAAACCAATCGGCTCGGATAGATCTTATGACTGATATATAATTTATTGAAGAAAGCGCAAAGCTTGTTTTTCATCTTACTATTAACACCAATTTCGGCAGTTGCTGTTATTTCTTTTGTAATAATTTCATCTTGAGTTTCTTGTTGTTGATGTTGATCTGAATGTTGCATGGTTAAACCCATATCAATATATGTTCCGATTGTTGATTCTTGTTTATTAGTATTAATTGTTGATGTTGATGTTAATATTGTTTCACTAGTTCTTTTTGTCATTGTTGATGAAACACTTAATGTTGAATCAGTTTGTTTTTGATATTCAGGTAAAATAATTTGATGTTGATCATTATGAAGATATTTTTCATCAACATTAAATGCAACAGATTTATTTTTTAATAATGAATTATTATCTATTGTTAATAATTGTTCACTATTATTATTGCTATTATTATTATTACTATTATTATTATTACCATGAAATGTTGCTGATCGTCTTAAATTTGAAACATTTTTTGTTAATGAACGAAAAAATCCAACAATTAAATGTGATTTTATTTCATTTGTTTTTGTTGATGTCATATTTGAATTAATATCAGTTGTTTCAATTGGTTTTTTATTTTTAATAAATGAAAATGGTGAATCTAATATCGATTGATTTGTTGTATCATTATTAAGTTGTATAGGTGGTTGAATATTTTTCGATTTTTCCATACGTTTATTAGTTAATAGTTGATTTTGAAATGCTGATGAAAGTATTAATGGACGTTCTTCAATAACAGGACTAACTAATAAATGTATTGTACCTGCTAATGATGATGAATGACATTTCATATGTATTTCACCATTACCATAATTTGATTTACCTAATTCAATAAGAAATATATTTGAACGATTTCCATAATTTTTTATTGTAAAATATGGTATACATAAAATAGCTTTATCTTTTGATGGACATTGATTTGTAATTGTAATTTTTAAATCAGTTCGATTACAATCTAAAGATGCTATATAAAGATCTGTTGTTGTAAAATAAAGACGTACTGGACCAATTAACATATGATCACGATTTATAATTGAACCATATGGAATTAAATTTACATCAAATGTATGTAAAATATGTTCTGTTGTTGTGAAACATGGTAAAATAGGTGTTTGTTGTGATTGTTGTTGTTGTTGTTGTTGTTGTTGTTGTTGTATTGCTGTTGTTGATGATGACGATTGAGATTGTGTTGGATCTTGTGAAGAATTTGTATTTAAGTTTGAAGATTTTTCTAGGTTACTTTGAGACATATGGTCAAGATGTTTAATAATAAGAGATTTTTTATCGAGGTTATCATCAGAAAAAAATATTGATATTGTATAAGATTCAAAATAAACATAAATAAATGAATGAAAATCATTTTTAACTGTATCAAAATATTCATATGATATACATTCATTTAAAGAATATGATAATGATTGTGATGAAGAATTAGATTTTCGAATTATTTCAATACATGGTTCTTCAGTTGTTGATAATAATGGACAACTTTCAACAAATGTTAAATATATATGACGTTTGGTTTTCTAGAATAAATTTTAATTTATTTCAACTTTTTTTATTTTTTTTATTCTTAAAACCTTTTCGTGGTGGGTTTTTTTTTAATAGAATTTTAAAAATAACAAAAAAAAAAGAATTTTACAAATTTGAATTTCATTTAAATATAAGTTTATAATTATAATTTGAGGAAAAATTTTCTCTCTCAATCTATATAAAATCTAACAGTTGTTGCAGTTATAATTGATTATGTAAAATAAGATTATTTTCGTAATTTAAATATATGAACAATCAATACTACGACGGATATGTAATTTGTAGTGAATCTGGCATCTATTTGTTGTTAATGATCAAAGATACATTAAAGTTGATGTAAATTTTCGTACATAACTAATCATCTCATAGTTTTATTATATTTTCACATTACAATAAGTACAAATGTATCTAAACACATTTTGAATCAGAAACTGACAGAATTGTCTCGTGTTCTTGCTAATGTCTACGCTTATCGCACTTCTCTGTGTGCTTTTGGCTTATCAACAAACTTTGCGGAGACTAATTAGCTTCTTCTGCTTTGTCTTGCAGCATCCCGTCGAGTAATGTGATGGCATAACATGAGCTCTGCAAAGTTTTGTGAGATATTAGCATAGGCATCGGCTGTGACATGAGACAGTTCTGTTAATTTCTGTTTTGAATCATCTTAGGATAAATTTATACAGAATAATACTGACTAAATTTTTCTTTTCTTATTGATAAATATTACAATAATTTTTAGTTAATAAAAGATCAAATTTAATATAAATGATATATTTGGTAATATATTGTTATTTATACTTAGGATATATTAAAAGTAATGACACGAGTATTATTATAGTGTATAGAAAGCTCGAGAAAAATTTTTCTTTATATGAATTTATAGTGCAAACAAGAACATATATTTCTGCAATTGACATGATAATAATAATAATGTGATAAAATTTTGTCATTTTGGTGTTAAATGGATAAGAGAAACTTTCATTTCTACATTAAAATATACATTACTCTGTCTGCTCAACTAAAAATTATTCATTGATAGTTATGCTTTGTTTTCAATCATGAGATTTTATTTCTTAAAAGAAAGTTGAAAAATAATCGAAATGATTTCATGAAGATCAAGAAAAGTTCGAAGACGAACTGCGACCTGATTAGAGATGTGCGGAACAAAAATTTAAAGGTTTGTTAGAACCAGATCGAAGTTACGAAAATGAAAATGTCCCTACCGGAACTAAAGATTGTAGTTAAATTTTCAATGATTCTAAACGAATTATCTTATAAATTATATCCTTGTATTACTATTGATGAATTGTGAATATAAACCAGTCTCAGTCATAATTAAACAATGATGAAATATAGAGCACTGTTTGAGGTATCAGCATATATAAAGATGAATCTTCTTCAAATTATCTATACGATATCATCATATCGACGTCCTTATTCGAGACCTGCATCAGAGTCAAATAAATTTTGCACTAATAGATCAGATTTAACACAAGACGTTTTCTGAATTGTAACTTTTGTTCTTTGATATTTACTGTACAAACTGGTATGCTTTGGTAATTTGATTTGAGTCTCGTCAAGGCTTACACTTATGAAAAGAAATCGGAGGTAATCTTGACTCCGACTGTTTCTCATCTTTGTGAAGCTCTGAAGAGACATGAATTGAGCCTCTAAAACACATCATTTTCTATAATGAATATCAAAGAATAAAACTCATCATTTAAAAACAAAACCTGTAGTGTTTAACATAATGTACTAGTAGGTAATTTAGACAACTCCGACTGTTTCTAAGAATGACTTCAATGCAAATTTCTATTAATTATCTAGAAGCTGATCATATTGGTACTTTTTGCGTGGGTAAAGTTTCAGATCAAAATTCTAAAGTAGAATTTCGCTTGAAAACTAGGATTCTCTAAGAAAAATCCACTAAAAATTCAGTATGTCAACAACAAAGACTTAGCAACTCAAATCATTCTAGAATATTTATCTATCCAGTGGATCCTATCGATTGAATATAGTCTCAGCTACAAAGTAATTTATTACTTGCAAATCGTCACTCGTAAGTATATAGTTGATAGACTTGCAACAGTTCTCAGTCCCATGAACCGATTCTTTTTCAAGAATTGGGTCCAGTGAACAGTTCTCTGTAGAGAACTGTGTCATGTGAATACTTCTCTTTTTAGAACGAGTCTAGTGACTAGTTCGTTTTTTGAGAATTGAGCCCTTCTATTCTAACATGAAGTTTCCATTAGCTTCATTCCATCATATTTATACAGTTCACAAACATGATCCAGAATGAAACAATTCTAAATCTAATGACAAGGTTAAAATGAGATGTCTGGCGGCATCAATTCATTTAAAAATAACTGCTATATAGATCAGTTCCTATTAAAAGAACTATTGGAACAGTTCTCAAGATTGGAATTGTTGTAGGTCTACTCGTTGGTATATAGAAATATGAGAGTGAAGAAAACAAAAAAATCAAAATGATATTTAATGAACAAACCTTTTTTCTTTGAAAACAAATAAGTTTAATATCACTTAATGTTTGTGGCGTAGTACTACTTGTTGTTGGATCAATTCCAATGTTTGTTGTTGCTGTAGTAGTTGTTGTAGCAGCAACAATATAGGACGGTGGATGATTATTATTTAATGTTGAAGAAGTTGCAACAAACATTTTTCAACGAGGATTATTTACCGGTAATTTAAAATGCATGATCTCTAGAATAAAACTAAAATACATTCAATATTATCTATTCTGACATAGTTCTTTTGTCTTCTTCTATATAAAAAGCACCAGAATAGATATCTAATTGAAAAATAAAGACATTAAAAAAAAACGAAAAATATAAAATTGTTTAATTCTTCGTATAATCAATTAGTCATTATTTTCATTTATTATTGTATCAAATTCAGTTTGACTTTCATTTATATCATTATTATCAAATTGTATTTGTGCACATTGTTGCATAGGTATTGAAGATAATGTTAATTGATAATCATGAGGTGTTGATGGTGTTTGAGGAGTTTCTGGTGGTGATAAATTCGTTGATGTTTGATGCTTATAAAGTGCCATTTCAGTTTGATAAACATGTTTCTTTTCAGATGCAGTTTTTTCGTATTGTAGTTTTGATTCCGCGGATACTTGCTTCCATCGAATACCTAGTTCGCGTGCTGTATCACTGATTGACATTCCTATTTACAAAAAAAAAAAAAATAATACATTGATACCGATTATTCACGAATCTATTGATATACCTGAACACTTTTAAAACACATAGGAAAATTTTTCTGCAAAAAAAAAGTACTCTACATCAATCTATAATTTACTTTTTAAATATTAATTTCAATGAATAAAAAAAAAATCGTTTGATATTGTTCCTTTGTTCTTTCATTATTATCTATATGTCTTCAACTATGTTCTTAATTATTCTATATACATTGATAAAATAAAATATAATAGCTGATAGACTGAATTAATGAACCAATGACGATACTTATATCAATAAATCTAAGACTTTTTTAAATTGTAAAAGTAAAATTTATTTCAAATATGTATACTGTGACCTTGTCATATATTTTTGTTTCTTTTTTTTTTCGTATTCTTAAAATAGTTGAATGTCAATATAGCCTAATCATCATTAGATGATTAATGAATTGAATATAAAAAATTTGACACAATCACAAGAATCATTGAAAATGTATATGCTCGAAAGGAAAGAAAAAATCGAACATTATTTACACATTATTTTGCACTCAAAATAGAAAAAAAACAACAAAGACTAGATTGACATCTATTATTGCGACGAAGATTATAAACAACTGAACTTTTTCTTAATAATATCTTAATAGATTATTTATTAATGACTGAGCATCTTATTAGTTTTTCACTTGAATATATGCTATTTAAATTTTTAATTAATTTTTATCAAATACGAAATAAATAGACTGAATCATTTAATATTAAATGTTTGCTTTAAATCTACTATTTATGAATTGAAAAATCTCATAGGATTTTCAGACCTATAAATAGAAATTATTATGTCATGAATGCAAATGATTAATAAAAAAAAACAAAGATTTTTGATATTCAATACATAATTATCATATATTGATATTATATTGAAGTATATTTCACCCTTTGAGGACGAAATATTTTTTAATCGAAAAAATGGTTCTTCAATCATTTTATTTCATTTGGCTGAAAATGACTGCATAAAAATTGTATGAGAATCAAAAAAAAACAATTTTTCTCATCTTTTAAATGTTAGAAACTTCAAATTTATCTAAATTATCTATTACTTTATAATAATCGAAATCGGAGTCACTTAAAGTGCTGTCGTCATTAATACATGACTTACAAGGCTCGTAATTGACTTCGCTATTTCGATAGAATTCCATTTATTTAATGTTAATTATCAAGAGAATATAAAGAAATGAAGAGTACAAGTAATTTTATTTCATTCTGAATAAAAAATAAAATAAAATAGATTTGTTGAATAAACACGTGGATATACGTGTATTTTGTAGCGAACGAGAAACAATGCATGTTTTTCAAAATAAAGAACAGAGTAAATTGGTCCATAAGAAAAATAGATCAGACGAAAATAGGAAAATTATAACATCACTGTACAGTAGTAGTAGAAAGAACAGAGAACATTTGAAAAGAATCTACCGTAAAACTTCTTTAATGTGAGCACCATTGGGACTGGACAACAGAGTTCATTTTACACAGATTCTTGTTATTGAGAAGTCGTGATTTTTCTTTTGACAATTAACAAGTATTCAGTCAAAATTATTTTTTCGACTGTACAAGGTAATCTTTTTCTTTTTTTCAATAACTTATTAATTCAACTTTTTTTAATCAGAAGTAAATCAACAACTATTGACATGATTTGATGTTACTAGTTGTTCAACAAAAAATGACGAAATGTTGCATCAAACATTGTTGTTTTTTTTCTTTTAAATATGCACGATTAGTCTATCTCCTTCTTATATAGGTTCCATGATTGTTTATCATAGTGCAATACTCATGACATCATTTTTTTTCTTGTTCTGTCCATGAATGATAAAACATTTGTTGCTCACATTACAGAAGTTGTTATAGTTTATGAGATCAGAGATAAGCGCCCACTACTCAGAATGAGAAGATGCTCATATTAGAGAGGTTTACTTCCAGTAAAATTCGCTTGGGTGGACTATCTATCGCTCAATATTGCGAGGTGCTCACATTGAGAAGTTTTACTGTATATGAGAGAAAGAAAAAAAAAAGCTAAGTATGAGTTGATAAATAGGATCATCTATGATTTATATGGCCTTGCAAGTCTAATAGTTTAGTTTAAAAAAAAACACTTTTTCTCTACCGAAAAACAGGTGAAACAAGGTATGTCCCACCGTCCTCAAAAGATTAAACTTCACAAAAGGAAAAAACTGAATTAAATTTTATCAAACAACATAACTAGCTCTTGAATTTTATTGAAAACTAAAATATGATTAAATTGTAATAATTTGTTCACTAGCGTGTGTATGGCTTACTTTCTATTGATTATCCAGAAGAAAAATGAGTAAATGAATAGTCATTGCAGCACTCAATGTGTTTGTCAGAAACAATTCTAATAAACTTTTTATATGTTGCATAACATCATGCACTATTAATTATTTGAAAGGTTGACATTCTCGAATGAAAAAACATGTAAATTCTTCACATGCAAAGATTTACGTTGCAATTGATTTATTGCAAAAAGAATAATTGTTAGTGTCAATTACAAAAATATGAGATGATATGAAGGCTTCAACTTCAAAATGCCGGAAAAATAATATCATGATAGATGAATGTTTAATGAAATCTTGTGATAAACTTATGATGAAAACCGTATGGATATTGCAACGTTCTTGAAAGCTGCTAGACTGAAATGTTTTCAATTTCTATGAAAATGTTAAACAATCATCTCTCTTTGTTTTTTGTTCATATAGTTATTGACATGTGGTTTTTTTTTATTCTGACAATACGTTGGTTGTCGCAATGACTTACTCATTTCTCTTCTTTCAAATAATCAACGGAAAATAAATCATCTATAAACCATTCACTACTATGTGTAAAGAAATTTTAATTCAATATTATTCGAATGAAAACTAAACTTTATATATCAACTCTTAATCAATGTACAATAGAGAATTTTATTTTCGAAGATGTGAACAATTTCCAAGGATAGAATCTCTGTAAAACTGAAACTCAATTATTTTTTAATCTCGTGAAATTCTTTACAAAAATGAAACATCTTCCCGATCTCAGTGACGTTTTTTAACTGAGACACATTAACCTTATAGAACGCACTAAAAATGATATTTCTATAAAAAATAACAGAAAAAAAAGTGTCCATTGCGCTTTCGGCAAAATTGATGTATCTAGATTAAAAATTATCGTAGATAGCTGGAAGACATTGCATTTTGTAGAGAATTATTTGCTTTACTGTTCTAGGTTTTTCATAGAGCTTATTCTTAGGAAACTAGTATTCATTTCCATCTTCGAAAAATAAAATCATTTACACAAATCATTATTTGGATTCTTATTAAAGTTTACAGTAGTGAAAACAATTGAAAATAAATCTCGTCGAATAATTTTGAGAGCTAGGACATGTTTGAGTTTACTGGAAAATTGTTATGTGCTAATTCGAAATAAATAACTTTCAATTAGTTGAAAGTTTTCTATGTCGATTTAACTCGAGTATAGATATTCTTGTAACCAAAAGGAGACTAGGGAAAGCTGAGCTTTCGGTTCTTACTAGAGAGTAGAATCATGTTAAGTTGTCCACTGTTAAAATCCTGACTATGCTACTATCAAACACATCCGAATTAAATCTACATAGAAAACTTTCAACCAGTTAATTTTTAAAATCAACTCCAACGTATTTATAAAACAATGTGAATTTATCAGAAGAAGTTTTTTTCTTCATTTAAGAATATATGATTTACCTGTTTGTGAACTCTGAATTTTAGGTCGTTCATCAGCACAAAAAAGAAAATAAGCTGATAACGGCTTTTTTGGTGCATAAGGATCTTTTGGTTTTCGTTCACGTTTTTTTATTGATTTTTTTTGTATATTAACTGTTATATGTTGTTGTGTTGGTTCAACAAAATATTGTGCTGTTGATGTTTGACATAATATTGATGATGTTTGTGATTCTTGTTTTTCCTGTTGTTGTTGTTTAATTAATTGTTCTTGTTGATAGACAGCAAGTTCTTCTTTATAACGTTTACGTTGTGAATCAACAATATCATTAAAACGTTTTTTTTCATTATCATTCATTAATTTCCAACGATCAGAACATTTTTTAGCAATAACATTATAATCAACAGTTAAATGAGGATATTTCCGGCGTAATTCATCGCGACATGTCCGAACAAATAAGGCATAAGCCGTTATTGGACCGCGAGGTTTATTTGTATCGATAGGTTTCTTCGGCATAATTACGTACGAATAAAAATATTTAAGAAGAAAAAAAGGACAATAATATTTCCATTGATAATTAAATGTAAAGATTTTTTCAAGAATGAATAATTTTCTTCTCCTTCTTTTTTTTTTCTTTGCAAAGGAAAAAAAAA